GAATTGAACTCACAACCTTGTGCTTGCCAGGCAGGTGCTGTGCCACTGAGCTAAATCCCCAGCCCCAAGACAGACAACTTTTAACACAGACAACAATGGTACAAACCATAGCAGATCTAGAGAGGGTAATAGCTAGAAAGCCAGGGAGGGCCACTTCTTTCCTCCCCTGCCTCCCCTGGTCCCAGCACTATCAGCATAGACAGAATTCTCATGGGCCTGCTCCTTGGGGATCGGAGGGAGGGAGATTCTAAGACTTGCTCCTGTGGGCTGCAAGACCGTTGAGGACAGACTCTGTGTGCCCAAGCTATGTCCTTCCAAAGCAGGGCATGGTCCCTTGAGATCATCAGGCAGTATTCAGCCATCTGGTCAGAGCTGAGAGGGCTGGGGATGCTCCGCCTTGCCAGAGCCCTGTGTCTCTCCGATTGCCCCATGGCCCCCTTCCAGGGCATCAGCCAGTCTGCTGGGAGCTGCAGTGATGAGAGGACCCAGCTCACAAATAAGCCCCAGCCCTGAGCATGCAAAATAGCAGATCTCAGACACAGTCACAGCTGGAGAATGTGGCCTTCTGCTCTAAACTCAGAAGGCACCACTAGCAGATGGCAGAGGTGACTGCACTTGGCAGTGGAAAAGCCAGGTCAAGGTTGTGTCCCAAGAAGCTTCTTGGCCATCACCACGCTCCTTGTTTGTGCCACCTCCCCAGGACAGCCCCTGGTGGTGGCTGTGCAGAGGCTGCCAGGCGATAAGCACGGAGAATGTGGATCTGCTTCTCCTCAGCAGCTCTCTCCGAGGTCACCGGCCTCCAGAAATGGAAACATAACTGGCAGTTGGTGTCATGAAAGCAGGTGGCTGGCACTGACCTGGGGCAGCAGGGGTGAGGGATTATTTATGTGCACCAAAGAAATGAGCCCTGAAATGCTGTGTGGGGTGTACCTGTGTCACCTAGGAGTGCTGGGGTGAGAGCTCAGGAGCTGTATCTCCTGGGTGTCTCACACACGAACACACACACAAGCACACACATAACAGAGAGCCACTAGCTGCTGTGCACACACTCCACACACCTTCTTTTGTAGCATCTACAGTGCTGGCTCACTAGCGAGCCACCAACACACACGCGTGGAATGCAGAGTGAAGCTGGAAGGACCAAACGGGCTGGCCAGGGCACATTTAGGTACAGGGTCTGAGATTTAAGAAGTGGTTCCACAGAAGTGCTCAAGAGACAAAGACTTCAGATACTCAGGAGCCCACTGCAGACAGAGAATCCTTGCACCGAAGAAACCAGAAGGCCTAAGAGAAATTGGTGCAGCCTCATCATGTGTCAGTTTGTAGATGGGAATTCCCAATCAGTCATGAAAGGTTGATTACAGCTGGGAATTAGTAAAGACTAAGCAATTTAGAACAAAGGGAAGCACTCTGTGCACTTATTATTAAATGATCTTGTATGTATGTATACGTGTGTATACACTTTGTTTATATATTCACATATATGCATGTACACTCTGCGTGGTACAGATAGTGTCTGCCAATAATATATACATCAAGAAAAGAAAAACTTGTATAAATATTTTAATACTAAATTTATTAAGATATCATGAAATTAATACAAATTTCCTTTGGCCTGTATAATCAATCACAAGAGGTGCTCAAAGTAGTGGCTGCTACCTTCGATGTTTATTAGTACAGCAAACTGCTGAAGTGTGGACATTCTTTTGGTGGGCTCTGAATACAGTACATACATAGTATAAGCATAGTATA